AWKGSMAMYGCAGTGTGAAAAAARTAGTCAGAAGTAAACAATMACAAAAACCAAGGTGTCAAAATGCRATAAGTTACGGCGTAGTTAAACGTGAAAAGCTGTAAAAAACATACTAAAAAGCAACACAACACAATAACAGTAAAGCAATAAAAAAACCACGCCATAAGGGGCTCGTTCGGCTGATGCAAACACTTTTTATTGAAAAATATTTACCTAACAAAAAAGAAAAAAAAAGAAAATAACAGCAACAAGCACAAAATCATTGGATGAGACAAAATATTTCGATATTTGCAAGCATTTTATAATTAAAACTGGTAAAAAAATATTATTCTCGGTTGTACAGAAGCCTTCACTAATGCAAAATGCTTTTTGCSAGAACTATAGTGACTCTATCTGAACAATTTCTTCGCAGATTGCAACATTGCCTGAAACAATAACCCGCCAAATTTCGTGATGATATCTCGGAAAATGAAAAAGTTTATCATACAAGCACTTTGTTCCGACCGTTCAGTTTGTATGGCAGCTATATGCTATAGTATTCCGATCTGAAAATTTTTTTTTGGTTATTACACCATTACTTGAAACAATAGCTCCTGGGAAATTTCGTGGCGATATCTCGTCAAATAAAAAAGTTTTCCATATAAACACTTTATTCCGATTATTCAGTTTGCATGGCAGCTATATGCTGTAGTGGCCCGAAAACGGCGGTTMCAATAAATGAGCAACTTCTTGGGGAGAAAAGAACGTGTGCAGAATTTCAGAACGATATCCCAAAGACTAAGGACTACTTCGCGTATATACAGACTAACGGACATAGCAAAATCAACTCAGACGATCACATACGTATATATTTTTTGTATTTGCTGTTAAAAACTTCATGGCAAGCTTAATATACGCTGTTCAGGGTATAATTACAAAAACAAAAAGTGCTTGAAGTTAGTCAATTCACMTAACATTTCACTGTAAATGCACATACGTTTGGCTTAACACTTGTAGGCAGATTTGTTGGCCGCGGAAAATGCGTATGCGGCGAAAATTTTGCTATATGTATGTAGAATTCTATGCTTAACACTGAAAAAATCATCCTGCGCTTAAGTAGGATAGACTTTTTATAATGTCTACAAAATAAACCAAAAAAAAAAAAAAAT